ACGCATGTATCCAGACAGGTACATGCGTACCTGTGATTTCAGTTCAGGGATTAATATTCAAGTCCCTAAAAGGAGGAAGGAGTAAACATAAATGTGAACTAATCTATGAGAAACAAAAGAAAGAGAATACACAATAAGGCAATATCTTTAGAGTTGGAAGGTAAATGTGAAAATATGTACAGAGAAAGCAAGGTGAAACAGTTTTACTAAATACTGACTTCATGAAAGTGTGTGTCGACTAAACCTTCCAGTGTCCTGGTAAGAGCATTTTAAGTGCACCATGATGAAAACATAAAATAAAGCAATGAGGCGTGGCTCCCCATTTGCTTTAAATTTCTATTAACCTGAGTCGCTTCAGCACTTGATTGACGAGGTTCTGGATCAGCCTGATCAGCATGATCCTTTGTTTATGCCCATAGTTAACCTCTATTACAAGGCTGACCTCGTCTCAGATATAGCAGCCCTGTCTCGTCTTGTATATAGTCGAGCAAAATGAGAACAGCAAATACACACACACACATATATATATATATATATATATATATATATATATATATATACACACACACACTCTATCTGGAGCAGGGTCAGAGTAAAGGTTAGTGTTTATTGCACAAAATTCAGGATCAGTTAAACTTAATGACCTCCTTTATCCTCCTGGCCTTTGGAGGAAGGAAAAAAAACTGTAAAACATTAGTACCTAGATCTTAAACATAGTTTGGCCTTTTATACTTGCTGTCTAGGCAACGGTGGTTTAACAGGATGTGATAAAATGTGGGTAATCGCACGCCCACTTGAGGGGATGATGGTGTGGGTTTATTAAAAGAAATGAGTCCATGGTGAGGATGAGCTAATCTGATTCTATCCGGATACCAGAGCTGTAAAGAGGAGGTAGCCCACTGTTGTAATAAGGTAAAATGCTATACAATAAGGCAAAATGGTAACAAATGGCGTGTTTAAAGAGGAAACAAGACTGTTGCTGTATGTGGTGTGGTTTATATATATATATATATATATATATATATATATATATATATATATAAATAAATCATACAAGTTTTTACATATTTGAAAAAAGTGCTGGTTTTAGTTTAGATGCTCTTCATTTACACTTGGCCTACTTTTATATCACGCTGCTTTGGTAATAAAACCTTTACATACATTTTTATTAGCTGCCATGTAGACCAAGATTTCAAAGAACTGATTTTAATCAACCAAACCTGAGTGAACAAAAAACTCTAATTTAACAGTTAAGGCCAAAAAACAAGCACCAAAAGGTTGAGCTGAGAATATTAAAAGCTAACTCAATACTGCCGTTTTCTTCTTGTTTCTGTCTCATGTTTATCAAAGTAGCCGCTCTCCCATAGTACTTTCCATATCTTGCATTTTACATTGGATTTGCCTCCCCTCTTTTTCCACTGGTTTTGTTGCATCACATAGAGCTAATAAAGAGTGGAAATGAGAAGGTCCTTTTTCCTTTTACATCCTCTTTTTCTACCTCCTTGTATTAAAAATGTAGGCAGCATATTTATACTTGTTTAGCTTTTATGACAATCCTCATAATAAAAACTAAGGTCATTCCACCAAGCCAGTAAACATACAGCAGAACAGCCAAAGGAAGCATAATATACTGTTGGGGCATCTCAACAACTCATCATGTAATTGAAAAGGTAATTCAATTGAACATGTGCAATTCTTTATGCACAGTGATATATTTCAAGAGTGAATTTCTTTAAGTTTCTAAGAAATTTTAACCTTACATAAAAGCAATAAAAATTATTTTTATTACACAATCGTGGAGGAGAGGGTCAAGCTGATTCGACACATGAGCGACGGACAGTCATTGACACCTGAAGGGCAACAAACCAGAAAAGATAACCGCAAGATAATCTGGCTGTCTATAGACCATTTTATGTAAACATGATCAAGTAAAATTGGGTGAAAATGCATGATAGAAAAAGGTGATCAATACAAGAAATCAGCAGAACCACAGAGTGCCAACAAAATCATGACAAAGCGAATGTCAAATAGTCTAGTGAAGGGATGGAAAGACGCAGAGTACAAGCTGCTTGACATCTGGTGGAAAATGTCTATATTTGTCGCCCAAGAAGTTTTACAGAACATCATGTTTCCACTCTGTTGACAACCCTAATATATTTGCTGACTTCTTTTTTTTTTTTTTTCCCTGCAGGACTCGTTACCCTGCCATCAACCTCCCAAAAGTACCAGTACCTGCTTTAATGAGCATGAAATCACTGTGCTGGATTAATCATTATACTTTGGCTAAAACTGAAAACTGAGAGGCACCAGACCCAATAGCCACCGGTTGATCTACTCTATGCAGCACTGGTGTAAAGATTTGTGCAGAAGGAGACCCAGTGCATATTCTGCACATTACACACAGACATACTATTAAGTGTGCCAACATTTCTGCACTTAAATCCTTTTTTATTGGTCTCATGCAATATTCAAATTTTCTCAGGCATTCTTTTGAGTTTTCATTAGCCGTAAGCCTTAATCCTGAAAAGCAGTAGAAACATGCTGGAATGAATCTATATAATATGAAATTAACCTTCAAAGTTGAATAATAAACTATTTATCTAATTTATTAAGACACACCTGAAAATGTACCATGTCGAATAACAAAGACACAAGATATTACTACAAACAACTAATGCATTCGATCTGTGATTGTGATAACAATAGAGAAAGTAAGAGGAAAAATGTCCTATGTCAGAGTGTAACACTGCCAGCCACTGCCAAAAAGTTACATTTCCTCATTTGCAATGAAAGCTTTTAATCCACATTTAATCATTCACAATCATCTACCATTTGGTGTAACCGGAATCTAATTTCTGTAAATTACAAGGTCTGTGAATTATTTTTGGACAAAACTTTCATTGTGGAGACAACTGCTAAGTTCTGGTAAATGCAAATCTTTACCAGTAACGTAGCAAAATTAAAGACACACACCACATGGGGCAGGAAGGACAATATTTTCCTGGTGAAATATAAGTGTAGCGACCTTTAAGCTGCAACTAACAGACCTTGACGTATGATAAAATCCTGCTCTCCCAGGTATGAATACATGTCTGGATACGTTTGCTGCTCATATGGAAGCAGTGATCACTTTGCAGACTTTGGCATGATGGTAAAAAGAGCAAAACTAGTATGTCTGCCCGGATTCAGCCATCCTTGGTGTAAGTAAAATTCGGGTGCCTGAGGTAAACATTTTTGATCTAACTGTATCAGCTTGCATAGATGAGATGTCACTTAATCACAAAAGAGTAATAATCAATAATAGGATGAAGAAACATTCAAAAGTTATGGGTTACTAAAGAATATATATTTTAAAAAAGGCTGAAATTACTTTTGAAGTCTGTACATTATCTCAGGATCTGGCATCCTTATCGCTGATAAATTCTCTCTTCTAGCTTTGTTTTTTATAGACTAGCCAGCCATGATAATTGGACAAAAACTGTGCTGTGATTTATTCTGTGACTGTAGAGTTACCCAGCCTCTGCATTAAACTACAACAGCTGTGTGTAAGTAGAGATGCACAGAGAAATCAGCTCGTAATTGAAGTCGATTTTCAACTTGGTCATATCAACTAGTGACGAGCTGATGGAAAATACATAATGTGATCTTTTTCCAATCAGTAAACACACCGTCGTGTTGCTCGTACAACAATCATCTTTGGGGCAGAGGTTATTACTGCAAGACGACTGGAGCAGGTTCCAGTGTGAGTAATGTTTTAAAAAATGAAATCAATGAAAACACAAATTGTAAAAAGCTGTTAAAAGAACTGCCATCTATCTTAGGTTGTAAATTCATGCCTAAGGTGCAAACTTACTCCATGTTAACTTCAATGGATGTTAAAGTACGGGATCTACGTTCTGCAAAGGATACACACAGATGTTTACGGGTGAGGATGTTAACTGTGCTATAATATCCTGAAGACAATTAGAAATTCTCAACTCTGGGGGCAGGCTGCACAGAGACGCAGTTGGTAGAGCTGTTGCCTTGCAGCAAGAAGGTCCTGGGTTCGATTCCCAGCCTGGGGTCTTTCTGCATGTTGGGTTCTTTCATGACTGTCAGGTTAATTGGTTTCTCTAAATTCTCCTTAGTGAGTGTGTGCATGCATGGTTGTTTGTCCTGTCTGTCTCTGTGTCGCCCTGCGATGGACTGGCGACCTGTCCAGGGTGAACCCAGCCTCTTGCCTGAAATGTTCGCTACAGATGGGCACCAGCAACCTTCCCGACCCCAATAGGTGTTAAGAAAATGGATGGATGGAGCACTGGGGGTGGCACATGGTGCAGAGGCGTACAGCAGGCCCCTCATATTCAGAGGTTATTCGGCCTTGAAGATGCAATCTAGAGTTCGATTTCCAACTTTTGGACCACAGCTGCACATCCTCTCCACTTGCCTTGCCCATTTCTTGCCTAACTACCAAGAATAAAGGTCACTAGTGCCACAATTCTTTTTTTTTATTTTTTTTTATTAAACTGCAATAATTCTCTATTTGTTTTAAAGCAGACTGCCATGTTGCAACACATGTAACTACCACCACCTGACTTATGGATGTATTCATTTGTTGCATGTCCTCCTTGCACCTGTACAAGTAATGAGGGAAAGAGAGAGAGAGATAGACGGCCACACTCAAAGAGTAAATCTCTTGACCTTGCGCCTGGCTCTTTAGCTCTCTGCATGAAGGCCTGTAGCCTATAGCCTTAAATATTTCAGCACTGCTCGGCTGACTGGAAATTGCTGAGCTGGAAGGAGAAATGGGGGCCAGGTAACAGCGTTCAGCCTCCCCCAACAATTAACACAGCAGCAGGGCATCATTGCTTTACACAGTGGTAAGTCTGCAGGTGTGTGTGAGCGTGTGTGTGCATATATATATATATATATATATTTTTACACCACTTTGTTTTCCTTGAAGTGTTTAATTTTAATTCTGTGAACAAATATTACGACCAGTAGATTGGGCGTCTTCATACCAGTCACTGTGAGTTCCGTCGTCCTCCTGACAACAAAGCCGCCAAACTGGATTTCGCAGGTGTAATTCCCAATGTCGTCCTCCTTAACTTCTTGAAAGAACAACTTGTCTCCCCTCTGGAAGATAGTGGCCCGCCACTTTTTTGGACGGCACTCCTACGTAACGGAGAAGGACAGCCAGGTTAAAGCGTCTCACATTATCTTTAAACAATGATAATACTTCACTTGGAAACTCGCAATAAAGCAATAGAGAAGCACATCGAACCACAAATGGCAAAAACAATTCGTGTTATCAGTTTGAAATATGAGACCCAAACACTGTTTGCAAACTCCTGAAAAAGTATTGATGCCAAACACTTTTTCCTCGTTTTGTCACATCACAACTCCCGACTTCGATGCACGTTATTGATATTTTATTTCCTAGATCGCCACAAAGTAGTGTGCAATTTTAAGACGGAAGGAAAATGATGTATGGTTTTCTAAAACCTAAAGAGCCAAAAATCTGTAACACGTGGCGTGCATTTGAATTCAGGTGTCCTGAGTCAATAATTGGTAGAGCCACTTTTCACTGCAATTAAAGCTGTGCAAAACAGTTCAAGCTCAGTCAGATTGAATAAAAAGCTTCTGGGAAAGTCAATTTTCAAGCCTGGTCTCACATCCTCGATTTGATATAAACTTAGATATGGACTTTAACTGGGCCACTGTAACACAAAAATCAGATTTGATTTAAACTACTCTATTGTAGAACTGGCTGCATACTGTTTATGCGGGCCCTCCTGCTGCCAGTGACCCCATGCCTCAGTCTCAACGCAGTATTTGTTTTCTGGCCCACACAGTTATTTGCATGAAGACCAGAAAGTTCACCCTTTATCTCCTTTAAATGGATATTCTTATTATATATGTGTACCGTGTCCTGTCCATGACTTAAGGCAAACTGCAGACAGACCTGTTATGGTTTTCATTAAAAATTGTTTTCTGCATTGCCTCTCTCACATTAAAGCAAGATCGCTTGATTTTATTTAAGGAAATCAGAGTAAAGGGGACTGAATCCACATGCACACCACACGTTTTTAAAATGTCTGAATATCAAGTACACAATACTTTGTGCTGGTCTACCCAATAAACGCCCCCCAAGACACAACACCACATTTGATTTTTAATGTGACAAAATGTGAACAAGTTCAAAGAGTGTGAATAAGTTCGTAAGGCACAGCAAAGCAGAGTTTCATCTTCATCACTGGTCGTTTTTCCAAGCTCGACACAAACGCCACGCAGCTCTAAGCCACTGGATAAACTGTTGCAGATGCATGGATTGACACTGACAAAATAATTCCATATTGTAAAATGATCGGGCTTTGCCATTATCCTTCTTATCTGATTATGATTTATTGCACTGAACTGAATATTCTCCTTTCAGTATTCTACTAAAGCCACAGAGGAAGGGGAATTTTATTTACAGAAGTCTCTTCTGGCACAATAAGTGTGTTTGTTCTGCTTCTGTGCAAATGCGAGCGTATCCGTGTGCAAGCACAATGAGTAACTATACGACACGATCCGCTCTCCAGCTCCTTGACGCTCTGTCGGGGAGGACGACGATTCTATTCTATCCTTGCTCCCGGCAGCTTCTGAATTCAATCACAGAGGCTCCACCGAGGTCCAAATAACTCTGGGTCCCAGCACTCCCAGTCATTACCCAGATTGTAATTGAATTTTCGAGAGAACTTGAGGTCAAGCCTGGCCAGTTAATCTACTGCTGATCTGCCTGTGATTAGTTTGGCCTCCACCCCTTGGTTGGGATGCACTTTGTTGTCCGCAGGCCGTGCCTGACCTGGGAGAGACAAGGACCCAACAGAGGGGAGGAGGGGGGGTGACTCAGGGTGCAGGAGCGTTTGTAGGGCATCCAGTCTTTCCACAGGGCACAAAGTGACATTGCACAATTTTATTCTCATAGAAGTTTTGTGCTCATTATGAAAGTCACTGCTGTGGCTGCCATCTGCACAGTGCTTATTCTCTCATCGTCTCAGAGGGCTGTGTGGACCACTGCAAATATAGCTTAAGTAATTGCCCGCATACATAATCTGCCTAAGTGATTTGGAACTGCATTTGCGACGAGGCTTTTAAATTTAAATGGCAAATAAATGAGATGAAAATAAAAAATTAAATAAAGCGTTTAAAAATATTTTCTAGTCGTACGATCACAAAGACAGAAGCCTGTTGTTGCTCGTTTCAAGAAAGCATCGATATCCATAAAAAAATTCAACCAATCTTGAAAGATTAAACGTATAATAACTCCCTTTCGTTCACTGAAGCCTACCTTGTACCACGTGATTTCAGGCTCCTTCCCAGGTTCAACGTAGTCATCTATTTCCGGACAGAGGATGTGGAACCTCTTGCTGAGCTCAGCCTTCTCAGTTATTCTCATGTTGGAGTTGTAGCAGAGGTCCGTGTCATTTTCAGCCACAGCCAGAGCCATGGAGACCTTCATGCAGTACGTAGAGTTCCTGTTGGTAGAGGAAAAAAAACAGCAATTGAAGCATAAACTTCGGAAAAATGATCATCAGTGACTGCTTCTTATTTAATGGATAGGACCTCTACACTGCCAGTCACATTGGTTGGCATGTAGCCAAATCAACGAAGACACAAAATCAACCTTCTTCCATTGGCGTCTGTTAAATTTTACAAAAACCTGAAAAGTCACATGAGGAACAGAGACTGTAGGAAAGGACCCAAAAGTCTGGATGATCTACGGAGGTTATGCAAACAGCAATGGTAAAAAATCCCTTTCTAGAGTGTGAAATGTTAGAAGACAACCAGTGATTATTAAGTTAAACATCTGTTTTCAGTGTTAAGCTATGCTACATCAGAAAAAGATGTATTTAATTATTTTTAATATTCAGATCTTTACCAGGGGTCCAAATAAATGCCTCCAGTACTATATACCTCGCATTACATCACCATGACTACAATTATGTTCTGAAATAAAATAAAAAAACTGTCTTTGATGTCTTTTTAACCATCTGTAATGCTTCAGTTTATTTGTTGTTTTTTTTTCCCAATCTCCCTCATGCAACCGTGTGAGTGTGGGCTTAGAGATAATGACGCATTCAGCAGCCTTGTACAGTCAATGCCCAACGCTCGCGAATACTGTTGGATTTATGGAGAGAGTCGGGGAATGCTAATCAGAGAAGTGAAAAATGCAGAGACGGCCCCGCGTAGAAGGGAAAGCTGCTTGGTCATCACAATGAGTCAGTCTTCACCCCTTGTCATCCCCTTTTTGTTTCCCAGCAACCATCAACACTCAACCCAGCTATCTGGCTTTGCTATCTAGGAAAGAATAATGACTCTCTCTCTCTCTCTCTCTCGTTGCTGTTAATGTCGTCGGTGTGTGTCACCAGTGACACAGTGCGATTCCACAGCTCCCACTTCCCCAGCAGTGCCACTGACAAGGCCTTCCCTGCAAGATTTAAGCTACAAGGCTGAAGGCATGCACTGCTTTGCTGCCATAATGCTTCCCGCTTCTCTGGGAAGCATTTCTTCAAGATTTTGAGGCATTAATTCAGGCAAAGGTTCCTGTTCGGCTTTACGACCTGAAGCAGTGCTAGGGTTATAGTTTTCAGATTACAATTCATGCTAGAATTGTAATCTGAAAAATATAACCCTACCAACTATAACCCATGGGTTTTATTACAAAGTAATAAAACCCATGGGTTATTATTATTTTCTTGGTAAGACAACCATCTATTTTTCAGATTTAAAGATGATGAAAGAAACATTTTTAAAAAATTGTTTCACCAAACAGCAGCAAATCTCCCAAGGTATGCGTTTGCAAACTGGATTTTTTTTTCTTATTTTACTTTTGAAGCAATGGCTTCTTCCTTGCTGAACGGCTTTTCTGCCCATTTTAGTTCAGACCTCCTTTTGCTGTGGATTATAAAACCGTCTTACCAATCAGAATCTTCACATCTTTAAAAGGACATTTGCTTTTGGCTGAGAGGGAGATATCCACATTTCACACAAACATGCAACCATCTCTGGGACACAGAACCCATTAGATTCCTGAACAAAAACTGGGTTTGCCTGGAAATTGAACCCCAAGATTGGCTGAATCTGTAGAGGTCCAAAGTTATCTTCTAGATATAATGCCATTTTTCTTTTCCAGCATTTTTGCACTGATAAAATACAGCCACAGAACTGCATCAAAGTAAGTCAAACACTGTCAAGTGATCTACTGAAATCTCACAAAGCCAAAGCATTGCGCTTTCCCAAAATTTCTAAAAAAAAAATATATACTAACTTTAGTCCATGCAAACTTTAGACTTTAAAGTAATAAATGATCTCTAAACTATGTTTCTCTGCTTCAGAAAATGTAAATAACTCTGTTTACCCCGACTGACAAAACAGCAAAGTTAAGTCTGGTGTAATTCTAGGAGGAAATGAATATATTTTTATAAACTGCACATAAACATCTGTTTTCATATTTATATTGAGCTCCTGTTCTTGATTCTGACTTTGGAGGTCAGAAGGTTGATGGCACATAAAACGGGAAAATAGCAAAGAGCATGTTCATGGATAAGATAATCGATATGGAGGGGAGCCTGGTTAAAGACGCCCGAGTTATGGATGCTCTGGAGTATATCTTTGACTTTCTTCTCAAAAGATGCTATTCCACTAATTGAGTCTGGAGGTAATGCAATACTGGAGCAGAGTGTCGGTAGCAGTAGCTGGCTCCATATTATGAAGAATAGATCAACCCTCAAAGAGCCCGTACTTTTGCCTCCGTCGCCTGCCCCCACTGGCTGTGATGTGACTCGGTCAGTCTCTTGGTCGTAGGACTGCGAGAACAGCCATGCAGGCTTTCGTTTCATTTCATTAGATTACATTTACAGCTGACCAGATGCTCCCATTCACTGTAAATGACATGGTTTCATATGATATACTCAGGTTATAGAAGCAATAAGGGAGTCACCTCTCCCATATAAACACCTCTGACCCCCTCCAGGGCCATAAAATACAGACACACACACACACACACACACACACACAACGATTCACGCGAACGCACTCACACTCAAAAGACAAATGTAGCTTTTGTGTAGCTATGGAAGATTGGTTTGAGATAGCAGTGAGGGGGAACAGAGGGAGAATAGCTACTTGAATGAGGAGAGGAGATACTGTGTACCTCCACACAGGAGATGACTAAAAGGGCATCTGGAAAATGTAGGAAGAAAAGTAAGATGGAAGATATTGCAAAAGAGCACTGCCCTCATAGAGTTGAATTTGAACATTACTGACTCAATACCTTCTATCTAGGGAGGAGAGAGTGGGAAGTTGCAATGTAGGCTTGCAGAGTACTCTTGGATGACATAGACGAGAACCAGGGAACAGAACTTTGTTAATACACACTAACGTAACATAAACCTCGACACCTACGTACAGTTAAGTGGAAAAAAGAAACAAGAAAATGTCTTATTTAGGTGTTGGGTCACCAAATGTTCCCATACAAGTAGCGCCTAAGCACTGATTAGACAATATTCCCCCCCCGCTGGGCGTTATTCTCTCATAAATTGAGAGAATAATTAAGTTGAGTAAAAAAATAAAAAAAAAAAAAAAAAAAAAAAAAACAAGAGGCACATAAGAGCTTAAAAAACCGAAAACAAACATTTCCCACCCACTACACACATGCCACAGCTCCGGTCTACGAATCTGAAACATTTAACACCGTTTCTTTACATCGGAGGGAAAAAACACAGAGATTTAATAAGCAGCGAAGTCCTGAATCTAATCCAACAGGTGCCATTTTAAATCTCGGAATAATTACAACCCATTCATACGTTTTAAAAGTGTTATCTGAGAGAAGAAAAATAATTAGGGCTCTGCCGGAAAACCATTAGTCTCACAATTTATTCTCTCTTTTGAAGCTGGGGGAAAATGCAGTATCTTCGTCTAATTCGTTTCCTTTTTTAAGTTTGTGTTATTCTGGTTTTCTTACACCACCAAAATAACAGTGATAAAGAAAATAAAAGCCCAGCATAATAGTTTTCATCACATTATCTTTAAACGAGCTAAAAGCATCCTGAAAAACTATTTGCCCAATTGCAGATTTCTTATGTGTTTTTTTTCCCTCACACTAAATTTTTATATCAAGCAAATCTTGAAGTCACACAAAAAGAAGTCAAATAACCACAAAGAGTTGTTCTTACAGTGTAATTGAATTTATTAATGAAAAAGAAAAATTCAAACCAATCTCACCAGGTGTGAAAATAGTAACTACCTCCAAGTCATAATCACTATTTGTTTCGTTATTGGTGATAATCGTCACTAATAGTTTATGATAACAGGTAATGAGGGATCTCCACACATTCAGAAATGTTTAAATTCAAGCACATTAGGTCCTAAAAGCAGCCTCAGACCATTACAATACGACCACTTTTGACTAAATATAATATTTTACTCTGAATTGTTGCAGTTTCACCTGATACAACAGGACAGTTTCCAACACAATCCATTTTTGCTTTCAGTCGTCTACACAAAATAAATCTGTATATTTTTTTTAAAGTTTTAATAATCATCACGGTGTTTTTGGCAAGCTGGAAACATATTTTTAGTTGTCATTTTTAGTCAAAAAGATGCATCTAACTCTTATTCACAGCACTGTAAATTAATTCAGACAAATCTAGATACTCTACAAGAAGATATCTGGCCTAGATCTCTTTGCTTTTTTTTTTAAGTCTGTCCAGATACTTCAGATTATTCCGAGTATACATCTGAATTTCACAGATTTTCTCACTGCTGCTTCACAAAAGCCAAATTTAAACTGCTTCAGTCTAAAAATAATAATAATAAAAAAGCTAATCAAGGAAATTAAGATATGAAAAGATTTGAATTAAGGAAAAAAAAATGAATAGAACACATTTGACCTTTTTGCAAAGGTGTTAATACAATCAACCTTTTCCAGAGAGGAAATATGAATTCATGCTCTCCAGACCATGCAACCCTTTGCCCTTAATAACGAACTGAATTTGTCATGCTTTCTCTAATGTACTTCTTGATTTGGAAGTGGTTTTCTAATGTTGACCTTTTCTTCCTTCTTTTCACCATTTGTCAGTTAATTGAGCAGTGTAATATTTTAGAGACATTTATTCCATTGCCGTGTTTTTGCACCGTGTTTTCCTTAGAGCTTCTCTGCTCTTACATGTCTGAAGTGTGGACTGCACACTATCCTTATGATTATCTCTGTTATTTCATGCCTGCTTTATTTTTGCTCCACATGCAGATGTAGATTTCATCAGAGTGTTCGTTTTTCACCACAGCCTAAAATCATGCATGTTAAAGCAATTGATGAAACCTAATAACTTGGAGTGTGAGTGTGCCTCTGTGTTGGCCCCAGGATGGACTGAAGCCCAGTCCATAGTGTACTTCACTTTTAACTTCAATAACAGGCTCCACCACCCCTGAACATGAGCAAGCATCTATTTTTGCCATGCAATTATATACCTTACTA